GGGAGAGTAAATCATAGCATTCTAGATAATGAAGGAAGTAGGGTATACATAGAGCTTAGTGTCTCAAGGGTAAGTGGGAAGAGAACAAACACTGTGATTGGATTTTATTGTAAGGGAGGGAAAAGTCATTGTATGGTTACGGGCAGAGAAATGAAGCAATACAAATTCCATGTCTTCATCCTAGCATCTTTTGTATTTGTTTTAAATTTTTTGAAAGACTTTATTGCTATAGGGTATGAGTGCTCACTGGAGAGACAGGGAGAGACAGAGACACAGAAAGCAAGAAGTCTTCCCCCAGGGGAATGGCCATGCTGCAATCCCTTCTCCATTCTCTCGAGATTTTGGCATACACATACACATGCCCCGTGTGAGTTTTAAGCTGCCTGGATCTGGGACTGGAATCACTGTAGACTATCTGGGAGTCCAGTGACATAACCATTCCACCATCTGCTGGTCTCTACGTCCTTTGTATTTCTACATAATTATCAGGAATGTTAAATGTTGGCTGGTCTATTACAATTACTATTACAATTACTCTTTTTAATTAAAAAAAGATTGATTCCTTTATTTAATTCCATTTGTTGTTATTATTTCATAATTTGACCAGAGAGAGAGAGAGAGAGAAAGAGGAAGAAAGCAAGACATCAGTTCTGGGACTCGAACCACAACTGGCCATGTTGGAATTCAGCGCCTTTAACCACCATGCCACCTGCTGGCCCCCCCTTTTTAATTTTTTAAAAGAATTGTTTTTATTCAGTTTTATTTATTATTGTTGTTGTTGTCTTTAATTTAATCAAAGAGGGGGGGGGGAAGGAAAGTGAGAAAGAATGCCGGTAGGTCTGGGACTCAAATTGTCATCAACCGTGTGGGAGACCAGTTCCTTTAACCACAATGCTACCTGCTGGCCCTCAAGATTACTCTTAATATTAGTGATCTTGGCTGTACAGTGAATTATATAAATTTTTGTTATTAAATTAACTGATCACACCACAGAAATTACATAGTGTAACATTCTACAAGTAATAAGATGATTGTTCAGAGTACTTATAATTAATTGAGTGATGTTTTTAGGTTTGCTATAGGGCATGTGTGCTAGACAGAGAGAGAAGGAAAGTGAGAAATTATTACCCTCCATCCATTATCCCTTCTTCTCCATTCTTCTCTTGGGATTTTAGATATGCACACACACCTGCCCAACGTGTTTTCAAACCTCCAGGTCAGGGACTTGAACCATGCAGTCAGCCCTGTAAGATCCAGTTCCTTAACCCCCACACCATCTGCTGACCCCAATTGATAAGACTTTTGGTAACAAGATAGTGCTCTACATCATTGCTAATCTCAAATGAGACCTTTAAAATTCATATTATAATTTGAATGGTATGTCTCACTCAAATATACATAAAATGATATAAAGACCTTAAAATAGGTTGAAAACATTAAGAATTAAAATGTGTTTTAAGGTATGGATCAGAAATTAAACTGCAAGAAGTGAAAAAAGTTGGATAAATCTTTTAGGGACTATACAAAATCAACTTTTAAATTGAAACCACAATATTTCATCTGTATTCCTTAAGCCAGAAGACAGGAGAGGAGACTCATTTAGGCAAGAGAAAAAAAAAAAAAAAGGAAATATATGTTGAAGGAAAGACACACCAGGGACTGGGAACCACATGTTTGAATAATGGTGATAATCTACATTAATAACAAAAATTATATAATTCATTGTACATTAGGGAGTATTTAATTCCAGGAAATTTTTGTCCTTTAACAATTTTAGTGTATTTACAAATCAATTTATCAAGGAGAAATACTCTTCTTTATTTCAAAAAGTCATTCAAAAATTTTATTATGAAACTACAATGGGGGCCAGCAGGTGGCATGGTGAATAAGGTGCTGAACTTCCATATGGCCAACTATAGTTCAAGTCTCAGACCTGGCAGCTTGCTTTCTCACCTGCCCTTTCTCTCTCTCTGTCTTCCTCTCTTCAAATTGAAAAATAAATAAGAAATAAATAAATGATTCTTTTTTAAAAAAGAAAAAAACTACAATGTTCCAGTAACTGTGCTAATTATGTAAAAAAAAAGATGAAAGATTTTTTAAAGAATTATTTATTCGATTTTATTTATTCATTCATTTTTTTTTTAATTTGACCGGAGAGAGAAACACATACAGAGAAAGAGTGATCAAAAGTGAGAAAGCAAGCTGCCAGGTCTGGGACTCAAACCATGGTTGGCTGTGTGGGAGTGCCTTAATCACGATGCCACCTGCTGGTCCCCAAAGAAATATAATTCAAATATCTTTTAAAAACAGCATTGAGGGGCTAGCAGGTGCCATGATAGTTGGGGTGCTGGACTCCCACATGCCCAACTGCAGTTGGACCTGGTGGTGCCTTGCAGGGGTGCTGGACTCCCACATGCCCAACTGCATTTGGACCTGGTGGTGGCTTGTTTTTTTACTTTCCTTCTCCCTGTCTCTCTCTAGTGAGTGTCTGTATCAAGTTAAAAAATAATAATGATGATGAATAAAATTAAATCATTCTTTTTAAAAGATTTATATTATTTATTTATTCATTCATTTATTTTTTTAAATTTGACTAGAGAGAGGATGTGAGTGAGAAGGAAAGCTACCAGGTCCAGGACTTGAACTGTGGTCAGCCATGTGGGAGTGTCCAGCACCTTAACCACCATGCCACTTGCTGGTCCCCAAATTTAATTATTTTTTTAAAAAGTACTGAAAATTCTAGAGAATAGGTGGGAGGAAATAGAACTATGTAGTGCAATAAAACAATGTAAGTGATCATAGATACATTCGTTCTCCCATATGCTTATTTCTAATTGAGTTCTAAGCACGCCAAAAAAAACTTTGAAAAATTCAATGCCAGGCAACATTTGAAGTTCATAAAAGAATACATATGTATCCCTGATATTTCAAGCCCTAATGAACTGCTCACAGTTAGCAGCAGGCTTTTGTTTTGAGAGATTTTTCTATAGGATGTGTGAGTTCACCAGATAGACAGAAAGCAAGAACTCACCCCCCCTGCGCATACGTCTTACATTGTGAGTTTAAAGCCATTAGACTCAAACTGAGATTGGCCATGTGGGAGTCTTGCACCTTAACCACTATGCCGTCTGCTGGCTCCAGTAGCAGGGTTTCTGTTGGTTTGATTTTGTTTTGAGAGAAATTTTTGTTTTCGGGTGTGTGCCTTCACTGAAGAGACAGACAGAAATGGAGAAATCACCTCCCGGGGTGTTGCCATGGCCCTGAAGGGGGGTGACCATGCAGCAATCCCTTCTCCTCCATTCTCCTCTCAGGATTTTGGGCACACATTCACATGTGCCCGGCTCAATTTTTTTTTTTAAGGTAATCCTCTGTAATTGAACTTTTATTTGGTCAGGGAGGGTACATTTAAAATTTATTTATTTATTTATTTTAATTTGACCAGAGAGGGACAGAGAGAGAGAGAGGAAAAGTGAGAAAGCGAGCTGTCAGATCCAGGACGCGGACCACTGCCGACCATGTGGGAGTCCAGTGCCCTTAACCACCATGCTACCTGCTGGTCCCAGCTTGAGTTGTAAGTCCCCAGGACCTGGCACTCAAACTACCATCAACTATGTGGGAGTTCAGCAACATAAGCATTACGCCATCTGCTGGCCATACTGCAGATTTTTATAATTAAAACTGAGAGCCCCTGTAGCTGACTACACAGTTCATGTTCTGGAACCCACAGCATGAGAAACACTAGGTTATGCATACCCAAAACCCCAAGAAGAGAAATGGAGAAGGGATTGTGGTGTGGCCAGACCCACTTGGAGGTGCTTTTTCACTTTCACTCTCTCTGACTCTCACCGGTGACAACACACTATAGCAAATTTCTTTTGAGAAAGAGAGAGAGAGAGAAAGAGGGAGAAAAGCAACGAGATTTTTAAAAGGAGACTGGAATAAGAAGTGGGTTTTTCAAAACACTATTTTAAATAGAAAATGTGAAAAATTAGCATCATTCGGATAATTTTAAAAAGGGAAGTGTTATTTACCTACATTTTGGAATAGTAATAATTTTTTACCAAAATTTATCAAGCACTAATAAATAATGGGACTGTTTTGTACAATCAGAGAGTTAATGCTCTCACAGCACTAAAAAAATCACACTTTTCATATGTTGACACATTAAAAGATACACATTGAGATAAACATGGGGAGGGTGCCATTGTTCATGAACATGCCTATATTAATAGTTTAGCCAATGTGAGCTCACAGGGTAAAAGTTACACCAGTCTAAGAGGATATACCAAACACAAATATCCTGAGCTACAAAAAGTGATAGTGAATGTTTTAAAAATGTAGAACTTCAAATTACCTAGGACTGGAAAGGTAGGAAAAAGATGTTAGCTAGGAAGAAGATGCCCTCACACAAAAATGAAAGATTTCTGAAAAGCACAAAATTAGCATTCACACTTTATATAAAATTAAATTACATTAAGACTAATCAGAATACAAGAAAAATTACACACACTATACTACAAAAAAACCCACACATTTAGAAATATAAGTAACATTAGCAGAATTAAAATAAGATATTCATTTTCAAATAAGGATAGAAATTACCAATGGGCAAAATTTTATTTTATTTCCAAAAATTATCAGAGACTAAGCTCATTAGACTATTAGTAATACTTTTAAAAAAAAAACCTGGAAGGGTTTTAATCATAATTAAATATTTCCTGGGGCAGACTCAATAATTAAGTCATAACTGAGATCGCTTGGACCCAGGATACTTGATGGAACCTTCTCAGTAGACCCTCAGTAAAACTTTAAAAAAATAATAAAATAAAATAAAAATATTGAAAACTGGAAATGGGTTCTAATCATGAGTAAACAGCTCCTGTACCAGAATCAATAATTAAGCCCTAACAGAGGTCCCTGACACTTGGCCCAGAATCTACAGGCCCAGCTGCCAACATACTGTGCAGGCCAAGCTGCCAGTCCCTGGAGGGCACCCTCCCCTCACTTATTAATGCTTAATTGAATTCAAAGCTATTCCTGACACTGGGGTTGGCCTCACTAACCCTCTCCACACCTTCAGCAAGGAAGCTGGGGATAATCGGCTTCAAAAACTTGAAATCACTGGTCCCAGTCCCTCCCCTCAGACACACCTCATACTGGTAGCTGTGGGACAGGGTCCCAGTGCCGCTGACGTCCAGCAGGTGGCCCGGGAAGGGGCCCTCGGGCACCGAGCAGACCCCCAGCGAGGCCGCACTGGCCCTCCTGCACAGCCGCGCCGCCACGAACAGCAGCACACACAGCAGGAAGAGCGACGACACCGCCGCCAGCGCGATGACCAGGTAGACGGTGAGCGAGTCGGCCTGCGCCTGCGCCGGGGCGGCCTCGGGCAGCGCCAGGTAGGGCTGGGAGAAGCCGTCCACCAGCAGCACGTGCAGCGTGACGCTGGCCGACCGCGGCGGGGCG